GATGCATGAACTGCCAACTGGTGTTCAGAAAAGAACTGAGGGGCGCCTGGGTGGCTCAGTCGGTTAAGTACCTGACTCTTGATTTCAGCTCAGGTCTTGATCTCAGGGTCGTGAGTTCAAGCCCTGCTTGAAAAAGAATCGAGGTGCTGATATACCCACAACCAGGGACTCCTCTTCCCCCTTCCCTATCTTTAATCCATGGTTTCTGGAAGCGAGGTTCCTGGCATGCATCCTCAGTATCACTGGTGAATGTCAATTCTTGGTCCCCATCCCAGACCCCCTGAATCTCCAGGAGATTTTGGCGCATGCTCAAGCTTGAGAATCACTGGGCTCTATTCCCTCCAAGGAGGGAGGCTAACAGGGAACTTCAGAGCTCCCCCCGCAGGAAGGAGGTCGTAAAGTCTTCCTAGTAAGTTCCCATTTCAAATCTATCCCCCAGCTAGTAAATGTGTCCCCAGAAATGATCTCACCAGCAGTCTTATATGATAAATGGGTCACAGATCCACTTGGGTTTCACTGTATTTTGGCTTTCCTTTTGCCACCTGTGGCCAGACCCGGTTATTTATTACCTCTTCCTGGTACTGGTTCCCTGTTTTCACTCCATCCTGCTTCCTTCCAAGAGAGAAGGGTGTCAGCGAGGTCTCTTACAAATATCTGCCGAGAATTCCTGACACAAAGGGCTTCTTGGGCCCTGGGGAAGGTTCTGGTTTTACCAGCCCCGCCCATCCGGTGTTCGAGGACTCCTGCATTTTTCAGGGCCCAGAATCTTGGTTTTCACCATGACATTTACAGAGCGGCCAAGCCTGCCCATTGAGAAGCATCCAGGGCTTGGCGGGCAGTGATGAGGCTGGCTGGCCTCCAGCAGTTGGCAAACATTGTGGCACATTAAATGTCACTGCAGGCTTTGTTTGGTTTTAAATTGAAAAATTGCTAGAGTTATGAGAGCTTACAAGGTTTGCCCGGAGAGAAAAAACAAAAACAAAAAACCCTCACCTTTTCTTTTTCTCTGCTTTCCCCTGACCGAATATTTTTCTAGGGGATGGCCAAACTCCCCCTGCACCTCTGTGTCAACTCTTCCCCCTAACCCCATTCACACTGTGATGGATACCCAATGGCCACGGAGCCCATGACCAAGAGCATGTTTCCAGAGCTCCACTTGCTGGTGAGAAAGAATGTGCCACCATTACTAATTCAAAGCAGATCTGACCTAACTATAGACCCCTACGCACATTTTCCCAAGATCCTCTACCCTCCCTTTTTCTTCTCTTCTTAAAAGGAACATTCAGGCTTATTTGTACACAAACATCCATCACCAGCAGAATCTTAGTCCAAGTCTTAAAACCAGTAGGGCACTCAAGGGCATGGGGTCTAGACTCTGCTTTTAAGCTGACAAGTTACTATTCCCAGTGTTCACATGACAGAGCTCAAGTCCAGAGAGTAACTTGCTCAAAGTCCTACAAAGAGTAAGTGCAGAGCTCAGATCCAGGGCTCCTGACTGCTTTCCTTTCTCTGGGCACACGGGGCCCCCCGCACCTGAGATCCAACCCCAGAACAGAGGACAGCTCTTCATCTGTTCCTTCCTTTCCAGGGCCAGCCTGGGATTGAGTTTTCTCATATACAGTTTCATCAATATAGTTAATCCAAATGTATGATCCTCTTTGGGTTCAGCCAACTCCCTTCTGCTGACACGTTCCCACCCTGGAGTTAGGACACTCTGATCTCCGCACAAGTATGAACATGTGAGCGCTGGTGTGGGGTGATGGGGAGGACCCAGCCCTCCTATTCCATTCACTAACATTTAGGTCAGAGGTGGGCAGGGTCTTGGATGTTTCATGAAATGACTCTCATCCAACAGGCTTGGAAGCAAACGACTGCCAAGAAGCCCAGGGCCCACAATGGCTGACCCACTGGAACTGGAGGGCTTGAATTCTCAGAGTAGCTGAGCCTTGATTGTACCCCATTTGTCCCCATTTAGGCATTTTCTGTTGTTTTGTTTTAATCTTGGAGGAGGAACAAAACAGGTCAAATAAAAAATTCCTTGGTTAGTCTGTAGAACCAGGCGTGACCCTAATAGGTCTGTCTTCCCTAAAACCTTTCTGACTGAGCACCCCTCCACTTCTGCCCACCACTAGATCTGCTTGGTTGTAAGTAGGAAGCTGTGTCGGGTGGGGTGAAGCATCCTGACCTGACCACCCAAGCTCTCTTGTGCCCGCAGGCAAGACACTTAAATTTTCTGATTCCCAGTTTCCTCATCTGTGAAACACTCCTTAGAGACCTTTGGGGATTAATCGTTACCAGATGTAAAGAACATGACAGTATCCACCAAGTACCAGCTCCCTTTTTCATTTCCAAATGATATTAGTGCATTTTTTTTTCACTCAAAGAAAGGCATTTGCATGATCATGAGGGGAGGCTGTCTCTATAATGATCATTTATAAAAAGATTGATCTCTAATGGTGGATTTCAGGCCTCAGAAACAAGCCCGAGAAGAGACGAGGTAATGTAGACACAAGGCAAGAGTAGCTCCACAATAACACCGTTTTGGGCGGTTCAAGGAGCCAAGAGGCAGAGGACTCAGGAAGCAAAAGTCACAGGGGAAGCACATTTCATTTCAACAGCTTCCTCTGCCTTTCTTCCTGTGTGGAAAGGCCCCTGGTTATCACACAGCAACCCTGTGGTGAAATTTAGTGCACATGTATCGAGCTCCTACTGACCTTAAACTATTGCCAATGCCCTCATTTCCCTTTCGTCCTCTTCCCCACCAAAGCCCACCCCACTCCTTTGTCTCCTTCATCCCATTCCCTCCCAATCCTTCCACCCATAAACCACCGCCGAATCTCAGCCACCATGACTGCCTTGTCAGAACAGACGTCGTGAGAAAGCCTGCCCTGGGGGCCAGCACTGGCTCCCAGAACAACCGAGCTAACACGGAGGACCCACCACCACCCCCTGAGAGAGACTAGCAGAGACAGAGAAGAGGCTATTTCGCTTACCCTTCACCTTCCCACTAAAGGTATTTTCAGAGCATTTCTCTGGTAACGAAAGAACCAGTCAGGAAGATCCATGACCTTCCCTGTAGCCCTCCTGAGGAGTATAGACTATGTCCGGGGAGCCACTTCTATGTTCTAACCTAAACCTTAACAGCAGGCAAGCTCTGTGGAGAGGTCAGTCTTCCTTCTAGCCTGCCAGATGTCCTTCCCTTTAGTCATGTGCATGTTTCTCCCTTTGGAAGGGCGAAGGTAAGGGGAAGGAACTGTTGTTTTAGATGCAGGAAACTCAAGGGCATTAAAGATGGCTTCTGGCTCTTAAAATCTATGCCAATAGATGTCAGAAATATTACTACTGCCATGTGGAGCAGTTTTAAAAAATGTGCGGGCACTTTGGCCTTGGACCTCTGTGCCCCTGACATTGAACCCAACAGCATCCTCTAGCCCCTCTTGCTTAGCTCCAAGACTGGACAGGAGGCATAGTGTATACCCCACAGAATATCAGAGACCGAGTGGGCCCTTAGCAAGGATCGATTCCCATCTCCCTATTGGGGACCATCTGGCTAGACTTGCCCTGTGAATGGGCAAGTGTCCTACATTATGAAAATGCCCTTCACTGGTAAATATACTGGGAAAGGTAGCTGGGCTATGTGGACACAGTCAAGTTCAAACTTCTCTGCATGGCCGTGCAGGCTATCCATTTGTCCCACTTTTCACCAGTCCCTGCCTCCCACTCTCTGCTCCAGTATTACTAAATCCCACACTGTTTGCTGCCTCAGTGCCTTTGCACAGGCGGGCCTTGGCCCTGCCTGGAATGCCCTGTTCCCCCTTCCACCTACATCTACCTACTGGTTACAATTCAGCTCAGCGATCACTGCCTTCAGAAGCTTGAATATGGCCATGATGAAGAACGCAGTGGCCTCCCAAACCAAGCCAAACTGGAGTCAAATCTCTCTTCACTCTCAAGTCACCTCAGTTTCTTCATCTATACACCAAGAGTAATAATACCAAACCTTCAGGTTTGTTAGAAAGGGGAAGATGTAAAATGCTTCGTGCAATGGCTGGCACATGGTGCCCATGCAAATTCAGTTGCCATGTTCATTACTGCCTGATTCCTCCATTCCGCCCTTCTATCCTAGACTGGGACAGGTGCCTCTTTCTATCACTATCTTTTATGTGCATGCTACATTTTTTTTAAGATTTATTTCTTTATTTTCGAGTGAGGGTGAGAGCAAGAGAGAGAGAGAAAGAGAGAGAGCCCAGGCATGAGCGAGTAGCTGGAGGGGCAGAGGGAGAGGGAGAGAGAATCTCAAGCAAACTCCCCGATGAGCACAGAGCCTGACGTGGGCCTCAATCCCAGGACCCTGAGATCATGATGTGAGCCAAAATCAAGTGTCAGCCACTCACCCGACTGTGCCACCCAGGCGCCCCTATGTGAGATATTTTTTAATCTAGTATAACAAACATACGATAAAATGTACCCATGTTAAGTGCATGGTTTGATGAGGTTTGACAAACGTAGATACCTGTGCATACCTGTGCCTATGAAACATTGCTACCACCCCTAACGATTTCCTTGTGCCCCTTCCCAATGAGTCTCTTCACCCATCCAAGCCCAGGCAACCGCTGACCTCTTTCTATTGCTAAGATTATATTGCCTTTCCTGCAGCTTCACATAAATGGGATCATACCGCGCACACTGCTTTGTGCTTCGTTCATTCAGTATAATGTCCTGAGATCCCCCGCGTGCATCAGTAGTGGGTCCCTTATTGCTATGCTTTTAACTTTGTAGTGTAATTTATCTGATGCCTCCACTAGACTGGGAGGTCCTCAGGATGCCTTTTTTGCCTTCAGTTCCCAACGAGGCACTCAGTAAATGTTAGAGAGAAGGAGGGAGGGAGGGCAGAAGTTGTCATGGGGATTTGCGAAGACCTGGGCTGCAACCTTGCATCTTGTCCAGCCCAGGGAGGCAGGACTCACATCCCCAGCAGAGGCCCCTGGGCAAGCACTTACAGCAGCCAGTCCACGGCCACCAGCAGGCTGATGTCCTCCGTCGGCAGGCCCACAGCCGTCAGGATGAGGAGCATGGTGACGAGGCCCGCGCTGGGAATGCTGGCTGCACCCACACTCGCCAGCGTGGCCGTGAGGCTGAGCGAACAGAGAAGACCGGGTCAGGGGAAGAGAAAGAGGACTTGGCCAAACCGTCCCTGGCAGGCAACTGTAAGCTCCAATTTCCCCAGCAGTCATAAAATTTCTTTTGTTTCTCAAAGAACAGAGAAATCCAGAGTGTGAAGAGACCGGGGAATTAGGGTCTCTTTGGATTCTACTCAACTGCGGTGGAAGTTTACAAATTCATGGATTAGAGCCTTAGCCTCAGCAGGAGAGCCAATTAGCCTAATACATCACAGGGCTCCACGAAGGTAAGTGCGGCTCTCAAGCAGGCAAGGAAATAATAAAGAAGGAAAACAAATCACCCTAACCTTCCCATGGGAATACCACTGCATTCATTTCTGCTTATGCCTTTATGTCTCTGTGAGCCCCCAGAGACATCTGGACTCCGTGGAAAAAGTCTGAGGAAGCCACTGCCAATGTTAACATGAGAACTCAGAATAGCAAATATCCAGACCCGATTGAGTGGACATCAGGGGAACAAATCAACAGACTCCAAATGACATTAAGCTTCAGATGCCTGGACATTTCACCATGGACTGGAAAATACATTATTTAGAAAGAAGGCGCCAAGGGAAGATAATGAAATAACAGGTTTTCTTTCTGAGGCCTCTCATCATTCGCAATGCCAAGGGCACGCCCAACACCATTTTGAAGTTGTCTCTGGAAGAGGGTTTAATCTAGGGTTCGAGTGCCCTGTCTGGACACCAGGGGGGGGGGGGGGGGGGTCTCTGTGGTCCAGCAGAGGGCGCCCAAACTGGTTTAACTGAGCCCGGACCGTTGTTGTGACCAAGCACAGAATCCTGGGTCTTACCATTGGGAGGGACCTGAATTTACCTAATCTTATGTATGAAGACAGGAAGGCCCTACGAGGTTCTATAGTTTGCACTGGTCTTTCCATACTGCCATCCTTCCAGATACAGGCCTGTCACCATCTGGACACCTTGCCTAGGTGGGATCGACAGAACCCATCTGCACTATTCCCCTGCCCCCATCAATGTAGAGCTGGTGTCAAGGCTTAAAGAACTCCATTTTTCTTGGATCCTTCTGGGTCATAGGAGGTGATAGTATATAGTGGATATCAATGAAGATTATGGAATGGAACAACCTGGATTCGAATCCCAGCTCTGTCACTTATTAACCACATGACTTTGAGCAACTTACTTAACCTCTTTGTGCCATGATTTCCTTATCTTTAAGAAAGGGTCATCAGGAGCTAATAAATAAAAAGCACATAGAAGAGGCCTGGCACCTTGCAACCCCCCAGTAAATGTGAATTGTTATTCTTATCAGGAAATCTGGGCAGGGTAAGGCTGCTTTGCAATAAAAACTTCTCTAAAGCCCCAAGAGTTGGAAGGTGGGAACTCTCAGTCATTTCCCTGACATGGATAGAACACCAGGAAAGGGGGACTTCCCAAGTTCCAACGGTCATGGCCTCAGCCGTTTTATTTACAACATCAGTTGCTTCTGTTATGAGTCATTCTTACACATCCCTTTGCACTATGGCCACATGGTCTGGTCCCCCCCGGGCTGTGTGAGACAAAAGCCTATAAAGAGACTTCTTCTTAGCAGTTGGTCCCCCCACTCTTCCTTCATCCCAATTTATAGTCTCACCGTACCACGGGCGGAGTGTCCGGGTGAGTCTAAATCCTGTAACAGCTTCTTGGGGCAGTGATCGCCTCTCCATCTCTCTATCCCTTTCCACTTTTCCCATCCTTCCGCTCCCTGGCTCACTTCTCTAGGGCTGTTCTTGGATGCTGTACAGGGTATTACACACACATTGTCCCAGCAGAGCCTCACAGTAACCCCGCAACATACACATGGTTGTATCTGCTTTCCACGGGGGAAACCACGAATTGGACAGATGGAGAAACTTAGGGTCAAACAGCCGGACCGTCGTCTGCTGGGATCAGAATACTCATCTGCGTGATTGCGATGCTCTGTGGGCCTGATGCTCCCCACCCCCGATCCCTCCAACACTGAATTAATCAACCCTGATCATGGGTCCCCGGTCCATCCTCCCGTCTCTTAAGTTTTCATCTAATGGTGTGAACTCAATGGGAAGTGTGGTTACCATCGAGGCCAAGAATTGAGGGACCAGAATCATCTTGCTTGGCTTCAAAAGAAGGGGTTTCATCTTTCGTTCGTCTCTGAGTTTTAAAGCAAAAGAAGTTGGTAGTCTCACATGCATTCCCTGACGATATGACTTAGAAGGCGGGATACCCGGGTCCGAAGCATGTTTTCCCCTGAGTGACATCATGGCACTCACTACATCACTGTCACATTTTTCTCTCATATTCTAGAAGTACTGAATTTTATTGAGCATCACTAATAGCAATACTACTAGTAGCTAACATTTGTTGACAGGTGACTATGTCCCAGGTACAATACTCCCAACCCCCTAGAATGTCCCCAATATACCAATGAGGAAACTGAGGCTCCCCTAGAGTACAGCTATGGACTGAGTTGTGTCCCCCCTACCAAATTCATTTGTTGAAGCCCTAATCTCCAGTGCGATGGTGTTTGGAGGCAGGGCCTTTCAGGGGGTCGGGGGAGGGGGGGCGGGTAAGTACATCATGAGTGTGGTGCCCTCATGACAGGATTAGTCCTCTTATCAGAGGAGACCTACGAGAGCTTGTTCACTCTCGCCGCACACACCGAGGAAAGGCCAGGCGAGCAAACAGCAAGAAGGGCAATACTATCTAAGAAGAGGATAGTCACCAGGAACTGAATTTGCCAGCACGTTCATCTCGGACTTCCCAGGGTCCAGAACCCTGGTCTGTGGTATTCCGTCTCGGCAGCCTGAGCTAAGACAAGTACATTCCTCACAGGGTGGTTGTAAGGATTCGATAAATTAGTATAAGCAAGTTAAGTATGATCTTTAAGTTTATGGAGAAACAATGTATTTTTAATGATCTCTTGGGAAAGCGTTCTTCCTAAATTTCTTAAAGGATGAATACATATGGTAAAAATAGGTTTAGTAAAACGTATGGATCTATATTTGTGATTTCGTTGTAATAAAATGGTTTGTGTTGTCTTGAGAAATCTCTTCCTTCCAGTATTTCATCATTTCTGCCATGACTCTCTGAAATGCTGAAGGGAACATATTTTAATGAAAGGAAAAGTGGATCCAGAGTCAGCTGCTGTCGGCCCCAGTTACAACCCTCCTGGATCATTAACGGGGCAGCCTTGCACAAACTACGCTGCCCCTGAAAGCCTGTGCCTCCTCATCTATTAAATGGGCGTAGAAATAACTGCCTTGCAACATCACAGGATTGTTAAAAATCAAATAATACCAAATTTCCAAAGCAATTTCACATGTGCAATACAAACAGCAGGCCTAAGTATGAGCCTGCTTCTTTCCTGTCACAATATTTTCCCCTTGAGACTGCCAATAACTCCTCTTCTATGTTATTTTCTTCATCATTCTTCCACCAGGGGACCTGAAATTCAAGTGGCCCCGTCAAATGGAGTTAGTGTGGAAGGGGGTAGGGCAAAAGGCCATTTTAGTGCCTCCCCAACCCACAACTCCACTCACCTCACAGTCACAATCTGGCCTCCATCCAGGATAACACCATTCATCTGGGCAATAAAGATGGCGGCCACCGCTTCATAAAGGGCTGTACCGTCCATGTTGATGGTTGCTCCGACCGGGAGGACAAATCTAGTCACCCGCTTATCGATTCCCAGGTTTTCTTCCAGGCAACGGAAGGTAACAGGCAAAGTTCCGGCACTAAAGAACCAAGAGAGAAAGAGAGACAAGAGTTTATGTCCACTTTAGAGAAGCAGGACAAAACACAAACCGGAATGCCACCACAAAGTGTTTGTTCTTTTGCTCCAATCAAGCAATGTGACATGAAAAAGCAGTGTCTGGAGCCAAATTAAATACCAGCTGTTTGGAGTTTCAAGTTCAGTCTTATTAAGATGCTCATAGGCAGCAAACTCTTTTTGTTGGTTCTGGTTTTTGAGATCTACTTAGAGCTTTAAATCCTTTTTCCTTTTTT